CCCATACTTTCTATTTAACGTTCAATGCTCAAGTATTTTTAACATTTACGAGAATGTCACCACGAAAAAAAACTTTTATTTTTATCCCAACTCATTTTTTTTATAGCCTAAAAATTCAAAGTTGAAAATATTGTTTTGAACAATTGTCCGTTTCCTAACTTAACTGTGTGGAAAAATTTCGAAACGATTTTCATCAAATTATGAATAATATTTAGTATGTTTACTAACGTTGATTGACCCTTAAATAAAATGTTCGTGTTTTTAAGTGTATGAGGCATAGGATACGGTCGTGGCTACGAAGGTGAAGGCGGTGCTTCTGCTGCTGCATCTGCCGGTGGAGCAGGACGTGGTGCAGGCGGTGAAGGAAGAGACGCTGGAGCTGCTGCTGCCGCTATGGCTGCTTGCTGCGCGCCGCTGCTGGACGAGGTGGTTACGGAGGCAGAGGTGGAGAGGGTGCTGGCGGTTCCGCTGCTGTCTTCTGCTGCTGCAGGAGACGTGGACCTGGAACAAGGCGAAGGAGCTGATTCCGCTGCCGCCGCCGCTGCCGCAGCTGCGCTGCCGCTGGAAGTATGTTTCCGTCCTATTTCATTCAAAAACATAATTATTTTAAACATAATCCTCTTTAGTTCTTATTATTAATCGCTTACGCAAACCCTGATTCTCATTAATTGCTTTTCCTACAGTAATTCCTATCTAGCCGGAAAAGCTTCTAAACGGCATCATCTTTTTGTTAGCTTTATTTTCAACCGATTGCGATTCATGAAATCATTCTTGGATTCTCAGTGGGTCCTCGGAAACGCAACAACTGTCCAAAATACATTCTAACTCTATTGATGTGTATGCAATAGACGCCGAAAAAATTCTTTCCCATTCATTTTTAAAAATATTTCTGAATAAGTTTTAAAGTAATTTTATGTCGAAATTTTTAATATTTAGCTATCATTCCTCTCGAGTGCAAGTCTGCCTCAGTAAATCGTAAATAATTTCGACTTCTAAATAGTCCGTTTTTTTAGACGTGCCTAGCTTGTACGAATTGTCTGCTCAATATTACGTTGATATTAACAGTATATTGACGCAACTGACGAATTTAGTGCAAATATTATACCTCTGCAGCGAGACTCAAATCAGTTAACTGTAATATCTATTAGGATATGCAGCTCAATCTGTTTTGTGAATTTGCCAGATTTTCAAACTACGTAGAGAAACCACATATAATTACCCTAATTTCACTAGGGATTAAGAATTTCATAATATGCACCATTGTTTCTTTTATTCTAATGTTCGAACACGCATTTAACTAGAGTTGAAATACTTTGATCCCTTTAAACAGATTACAACAAGCCTGAGGAAGAACACGTAATTGGACATCTGTGCGAATAATTAGTTTCGGATTTTAAAGCTTGCTCTCTGACTTAACGCCATGAACTTGACACAGATAGATATTTGATATATATGTCATATATATCCAACCAGCTTAAATTCTGAAATTTTATTATCTTCCTGGTATATTAATTTAATCTACATTTCCGTTGAATTTTAATATCTTCCCATTCGATTTCCTTTCGGATAAACTATAATATATTAAGTTTGCGGTTAGATCTCTTTTTTTTTTCTGATTATTCAATTCTAAGCTTCTGTCTCGTTAATTTTAACAGTTTTTTAAAAACTAATAAGTGAAGTATTTGATAGAATCCTGAATTTCCATATAGATTCGAATTAAGGAGGTATATTTTAAAACTTCGATCTCAAATTTCCTATTTCTTTTAAATATTACCTACTATTCATGTCTTCCAAGATTAACCATTTAATTGTGGTAGATGCAGCTGTCTAATAAACATTTGTACATAACATATTAATTGATACCACTAAAGAGATTCTTTGTAACTTAACCACAAACATATTTCTTAAATATTTTGTACGTTATGTAACCGAAAAGTTATTTAACTTCAATCCCATACTTTCTATTTAACGTTCAAATGCGCCAAATTAATTAATTTTAACATTTACGAGAATGTCACGCACGAAAAACAAAATTTCTTATTTATCCAATCATGTGATTTTATGGCCTAAAAAATTCAAATTGAAATATTTTTTTGAACAATTGTCCTTTCCTAACTTAACGTGTTGGAACAATTTCGAAACGATTGTTCGTCAAATATGAATAATATTTAGTATGTTTACTAACGTTGATTTGACCCTTAAATAAAATGTTCGTGTCTTTTAAAGGTATGGGGCAGAGGATACGGTCGTGGCTACGAGGTGAAGGCGGTGCTTCTGCTGCTGCATCTGCGGTGGAGCAGGACGTGGCAGGGCGGTGAAGGAAGAGACGCTGGAGCTGCTGCTGCCCGCTATGCTGCTGCTGCTGCTCCGCTGCTGGACGAGGTGGTTACGGAGGCAGAGGTGGAGAGGGTGCTGGCGGTGCCGCAGCTGCTGCTTCTGCTGCTTGAGGAGGACGTGGACCTGGAAGACAAGGCGAAGGAGCTGATGCCGCTGCCGCCGCCGCTGCTGCTGCTGCGGCTGCCGCTGGAGGTATGCAGTTCCGTCCTATTTCTATTTCTTCAAAAACATAATGAATTTTAAACATAGCCTGCTTTGAGTTCTATATTATTACAAGCGCTTTACGCAAAACCCTGATTTACCTATTAATTGCTTTACCTACAGTAATTCCTATCTAGCGGAAAAGCTTTCTAAACGGCATCATCTTTTTGTTACCTTTAATTTCAACCGATTGCGATTCATGAAATCTTTTCTTGGATTCTCAGTGGTCACTCGGAACCGCAACACTGTCCAAAATACATTCTAACTCTATTGATATGTGTATGCAATAGACGCCGAAAATGTTCTATTTCAATTTCATTTTTAAAACATTTTCTGAATAAGTTTTAAGTAATTTTTTATGTCGAAATTTTTAATATTTAGCTATCGTTCCTGCTCGAGTGCAAGTCTGCCTCTCAGTAAATCCGATAAATAATTTCGACTTCTAAATAGTCCGTTTTTTTTTTATAGACGGTGCTTAGCTTGTACGAATTGTCTGCTCAATATTACTTGATATTAACAGTATATTTAACGCAACTGAGGAATTTAGTGCAAATAATTTATACCTCTGCAGCGAGACCTCAAATCAGTTAAACCGTAATATCTATCAGGATATGCAGCTCAATCTGTTTTGTGAATTTACCAGATGTTTCAAACTACGTAGAGAACAACACATATAATTACCCTTAATTTCACTAGGTGATTAAGAATTTCATAATATGCACCATTGTTTCTACTATTTTGACGTCCAAACGCATTTAACTAGAGTTGAAATACTTTGATCCCTTTTAAACAGATTACAACAAGCCTGAGGAAGAACACGTAATTGGACATCTGTTGCGAATAATTAGTTCCGGATTTTGAAGCTTGCTCTCTGACTTAACACCATGAACTTGACACAGATAGGATCTTTTATATAAATGTCATATATGTCCAACCAGCTTAAATTCTGAAATTTTATTATCTTCCTGGTATATTAATTTAATCTACATTTCCGTGAATTTTAAATATCTTCCCATTCGATTTTCCTTTCGGGTAAACTATAATATGTTAAGTTTGTGGTTAGATCTCTTTTTCTGATTATTTCAATTCTAAGCTTCTTTCTTTCTCATTAATTTTAACAGTTTCTTAAAAACTAATTAGTGAAGTATTTGGATAAGACTTAATTTCCATATAGATCGAATTAAGGAGGTATATTTTAAAACTTCGATCTCAAAACTTCCTATTTCTTTTAAATATTACATTACTATTATTTCTTCCAAGATTAACACTTTTAATTGTGGTAGATGCACTGTCTAATAAGACATTTGTACATAACATATTAATTGATACCATGAAAAGATTCTTTGTAACTTACCACACGATATTTCTTAATATTTTGTACGTTATGTAACTGGAAAAGTTATTTACGTCAATCCCATACTTTCTATTTAACGTTCGAATGCGCAAAGTAATTAAGTTAACATTTACGAGAATGTCACGCACGAAAACAAACTTTTATTATTTATCCCAACATCATGTGATTTTATGGCCGAAAAACTCAAAGTTGAAAATATTGTTTTGAACAATTGTCCGTTTCCTAACTTAACTGTGTGAAAAATTTCGAAACGATTGTTCATCAAATTATGAATAAGATTTAGTATGTTTACTAACGTTGATTGACCCTTAAATAAAATGTTCGTGTCTTTTAAAGGTATGGAGGCAGAGGATACGGTCGTGGCTACGGAGGTGAGGGCGGTGCTTCTGCTGCTGCATCTGCCGGTGGAGCAGGACGTGGTGCAGGCGGTGAAGGAAGAGACGCTGGAGCTGCTGCTGCCGCTATGGCTGCTGCTGCTGCAGCCGCTGCTGGACGAGGTGGTTACGGAGGCAGAGGTGGAGAGGGTGCTGGCGGTGCCGCAGCTGCTGCTTCTGCTGCTGGCAGGAGGACGTGGACCTGGAAGACAAGGCGAAGGAGCTGATGCCGCTGCCGCCGCCGCTGCCGCAGCTGCGGCTGCCGCTGGAAGTATGCAGTTCCGTCCTATTTCATTCAAAAACATAATGCGGAATTTTAAACATAATCCTACTTTGAGTTCTATATTATTACAAGCGCTTTACGCAAAACCCTAATTACTCTATTAATTGCTTTATCCTACAGTAATTCCTATCTAGCCGGAAAAGCTTCTAAACGGCATCATCTTTTGTTAGCTTTAATTTTCAACCGATTGCGATTCATTGAAATCATGTCTTGGATTCTCAGTGGTCACTCGGAACCGCAACACTGTCCAAAATACATTCTAAACTCTATTGATATGTGTATGCAATAGACGCCGAAAAATTCTTTCCATTTCATTTTAAAAATATTTCTGAATAAGTTTTAAAGTAATTTTTATTGTCGAAATTTTTAATATTTAGCTATCGTTCCTGCTCGAGTGCAAGTTTCTGCCTCAGTAAATCGATAAATAATTTCGACTTCTAAATACTCCGTTTTTTTATGGAACGTGTTTAGCTTGTACGAATTGTCTGCTCAATATTACGTGATATTAACAGTATATTTAACGCAACTGACGAATTTAGTGCAAATAATTTATACCTCTGCAGCGAGACTCAAATCAGTTAAACTCGTAATATCTATGTCAGGATATGCAGCTCAATCTATTTTGTGAATTTGAAAGATGTTTCAAACTACGTAGAGAAACAACATATAGTTACCCTTAATTTGACTAGGTGAATTAAGAATTTCATAAAATGCACGTTTGTTTCTTTTATTTGATGTCCGAACGCTTTAACTAGAGTTGAAATACTTTGATCCCTTTTAAACAGATTACAACAAGCCTGAGGAAGAACACGTAATTGGACATCTGTTGCGAATAATTAGTTCGGATTTTAAAGCTTGCTGTTTGACTTAACACCATGAACTTGACACAGATAGGATCTTTGATATAAATGTTCATTATATGTCCAACCAGATTAAATTCTGAAATTTTATTATCTTCCTGGTATATTAATTTAAATCTACATTTCCGTGAATTTTAAATATCTTCCCATTCGATTTCCTTTCGGGTAAACTATAATATATTAGTTTGCGTTAGATCTCTTTTTTCTGATTATTTCAATTCTAAGCTTCTGTCTCATTAATTTTAACAGTTTTTTAAAAACTAATTAGTGAAGTATTTGATAAGATCCTAATTTCCATATAGATTCGAATTAAGGAGGTATATTTTAAAACTTCGATCTCAAAACTTCCTATTTTTTTTAAATATTACCTTACTATTTTCTTTCCAAGATTAAAACTTTTAATTGTGGTAGATGCAGCTGTCTAATAAAACATTTGTACATAACATATTAATTGATACCACTAAAGAGATTCTTTGTAACTTACCACACGATATTTCTTAAATATTTTGTACGTTATGTAACCGGAAAAGTTATTTAACGTCAATCCCATACTTTCTATTTAACGTTCAAATGCGCAAAGTGAATTAATTTAACATTTACGAGAATGTCACGCACGAAAAACAAATTTTATTATTTATCCCAACATCATGTGATTTTATGGCCGAAAAACTCAAAGTTGATAAATTTTTTTGAACAATTGTCCGTTTCCTAACTTAACTGTGTGGAAAATTTCGAAACGATTGTTCGTCAAATTATGAATAATATTTTAGTATGTTTACTAACGTTGTTTGACCCTTAAATAAAATGTTCGTGTCTTTTAAAGTGTATGGAGGCAGAGGATACGGTCGTGGCTACGGAAGGTGAAGGCGGTGCTTCTGCTGCTGCATCTGCCGGTGGAGCAGGACGTGTGCATGGGCGGTGAAGGAAGAGACGCTGGAGCTGCTGCTGCCGCTATGCCGCTGCTGCTGCTGCAGCCGCTGCTGGACGAGGTGGTTACGGAGGCAGAGGTGGAGAGGGTGCTGGCGGTGCCGCTGCTGCCTTCTGCTGCTGCAGGAGGACGTGGACCTGGAAGACAAGGCGAAGGAGCTGATGCCGCTGCCGCCGCCGCTGCCGCAGCTGCGGCTGCCGCTGGAAGTATTGCAGTTCCGTCCTATTGTCCTATTTCACTTCAAAAACATAATGCGGAATTTTAAACATAATCCTGCTTTGAGTTCTATATTATTACAAGCGCTTTACGCAAAACCCTGATTACTGCTACTAATTGCTTTACCCTACAGTAATTCCTATCTAGCCGGAAAAGCTTTCTAAACGGCATCATCTTTTGTTAGCTTTAATTTCAACTGATTGCGATTCATGAAATCTTTTCTTGGATTCTTCAGTGGTCACTCGGAACCGCAACACTGTCCAAAATACATTCAAACTCTATTGATATGTGTACGCAATAGACGCCGAAAAATGTTCTTTCACATTTCATTTTTAAAAATATTTCTGAATAAGTTTTAAAGTAATTTTTATCGTCGAAATTTTTAATATTTAGCTATCGTTCCTGCTCGAGTGCAAGTTTCTGCCTCAGTAAATCGATAAATAATTTCGACTTCTAAATAGTCCGTTTTTTTATAGACGTGTTTAGCTTGTACGAATTGTCTGCTCAATATTACTTGATATTAACAGTATATTTAACGCAAGTGAGGAATTTAGTGCAAATAATTTATACCTCTGCAGCGAGACTCAAATCAGTTAAACTCGTAATATCTGTCAGGATACGCAGCTCAATCTATTTTGTGAATTTGACCAGATGTTTCAAACTACGTAGAGAACAACATATAATTACCCTTAATTTGACTAGGTAATTAAGAATTTCATAAATGCACCGTTTGTTTCTTTTATTTTGATGTCCAAAACGCATTTAACTAGAGTTGAAATACTTTGATCCCTTTTAAACAGATTACAACAAGCCTGAGGAAGAACACGTAATTGGACATCTGTTGCGAATAATTAGTTCCGGATTTTAAAGCTTGCTGTTCTGACTTAACACCATGAAACTTGACACAGATAGGATCTTTCATATAAATGTCATATATGTCCAACCAGCTTAAATTCTGAAATATTTATTATCTTCCTGGTATATTAATTAATCTACATTTCCGTGAATTTTAAATATCTTCCCATTCGATTTCCTTTCGGGTAAATATAATATATTAAGTTTACCGTTAGATCTCTCTTTTTTCTGATTATTTCAATTCTAGCTTCTCTCTCATTAATTTTAATAGTTTTTTAAAAACTAATTAGTGAAGTATTTGGTAAGATCCTTATTTTCCGTATAGATTCGAATTAAGGAGGTATATTTTAAAACTTCGATCTCAAAACTTCCTATTTTTCTTTTAAATATTACCTTACTATTTATGTCTTCCAAGATTAACACTTTTAATTGTGGTAGATGCAGCTGTCTAATAAGACATTTGTACATAACATATTAATTGATACCACTAAAGAGATTCTTTGTAACTTACCACACGATATTTCTTAAATATTTTGTACGTTAGGTAACCGGAAAAGTTATTTAACGTCAATCCCATACTTTCTATTTAACGTTCAAATGCGCAAAGTAAATTAATTTACATTTACGAGAATGTCACGCACGAAAAACAAACTTTTAATATTTATCCCAACATCATGTCATTTTATGGCCGAAAAACTCAAAGTTGAAAATATTGTTTTGAACAATTGTCCGTTTCCTAACTTAACTGTGTGGAAAAATTTCGAAACGATTGTTCGTCAAATTATGAATAAATATTTAGTATGTTTACTAACGTTGTTTGACCCTTAAATAAAATGTTCGTGTCTTTTAAAGGGTATGGAGGCAGAGGATACGGTCGTGGCTACGGAGGTGAAGGCGGTGCTTCTGCTGCTGCATCTGCCGGTGGAGCAGGACGTGGTGCAGGCGGTGAAGGAAGAGACGCTGGAGCTGCTGCTGCCGCTATGGCTGCTGCTGCTGCAGCTGCCGCGCTGCTGGACGAGGTGGTTACGGAGGCAGAGGGTGAGAGGGTGCTGGCGGTGCCGCTGCTGCCTCTGCTGCTGGCAGCAGGACGTGGAGCTGGAGGACAAGGCGAAGGAGCTGATGCCGCTGCCGCCGCCGCTGCCGCTGCTGCGGCTGCCGCTGGAAGTATTGCAGTTCCGTCCGTCCTATTTCACTTCAAAAACATAATGAATTTTAAACATAATCCTACTTTGAGTTCTATATTATTACAAGCGCTTTACGCAAAACCCTGATTACTCTATTAATTGCTTTATCCTACAGTAATTCCTATCTAGCCGGAAAAGCTTTCTAAACGGCATCATCTTTTTGTTAGCTTTATTTTCAACCGATTGCGATTCATGAAATCATGTCTTGGATTCTCAGTGGTCACTCGGAACCGCAACACTGTCCAAAATACATTCTAACTCTATTGATATGTGTATGCAATAGACGCCGAAAAACGTTCTTTCCCATTTCATTTTTAAAAATATTTCTGAATAAGTTTTAAAGTAATTTTTATTGTCGAAATTTTTAATATTTAGCTATCATTCCTGCTCGAGTGCAAGTTTCTGCCTCAGTAAATCGATAAATAATTTCGACTTCTAAATACTCCGTTTTTTTAGACGTGTTTAGCTTGTACGAATTGTCTGCTGAATATTACGTGATATTAACAGTATATTTAGAACGCAAGTGAGGAATTTAGTGCAAATAATTTATACCTCTGCAGCGAGACTCAAATCAGTTAAACTCGTAATATCTATGTCAGGATACGCAGCTCAATCTATTTTGTGAATTTGAAAGATGTTTCAAACTACGTAGAGAAACAACATATAATTACCCTTAATTTGACTAGGTGATTAAGAATTTCATAAAATGCACCAGTTTGTTTCTTTTATTTTGATGTTCCGAAACGCTTTAACTAGAGTTGAAATATTTTGATCCCTTTTAAACAGATTACAACAAGCCTGAGGAAGAACACGTAATTGGACATCTGTTGCGAATAATTAGTTCGGATTTTAAAGGCTTGCTGTTTGACTTAACGCCATGAAACTTGACACAGATAGGATCTTTGATATAAATGTTCATATATATCCAACCAGATTAAATTCTGAAATATTTATTATCTTCCTGGTATATTAATTTAAATCTACATTTCCGTGAATTTTAAATATCTTCCCATTCGTTTTTCCTTTCGGGTAAAACTATAATATATTAAGTTTACCGTTAGATCTCTTTTTTTCTGATTATTTCAATTCTAAGCTTCTGTCATCATTAATTTTAATAGTTTTTTTAAAAACTAATTAGTGAAGTATTTGATAAGATCCTTAATTTCCATATAGATTCGAATTAAGGAGGTATATTTTAAAACTTCGATCTCAAAACTTCCTATTTTCTTTTAAATATTACCTTACTATTAATTGTCTTCCGAGATTAACACTTTTAATTATGGTGGATGCAGCTGTCTAATAAGACATTTGTACATAACATATTAATTGATACCACTAAAGAGATTCTTTGTAACTTACCACACGATATTTCTTAAATATTTGTACGTTTATGTAACCGGAAAAGTTATTTAACGTCAATCCCATACTTTCTATTTAACGTTCAAATGCGCAAAGTAAATTAAGTTAACATTTACGAGAATGTCACGCACGAAAAACAAACTTTTATTATTTATCCCAACATCATGTGATTTTATGGCCGAAAAAATTCAAAGTTGAAAATATTGTTTTGAACAATTGTCCGTTTCCTAACTTAACTGTGTGGAAAAATTTCGAAACGATTGTTCGTCAAATTATGAATAAGGTTTAGTATGTTTACTAACGTTGTTTGACCCTTAAATAAAATGTTCGTGTCTTTTAAAGTGTATGGAGGCAGAGGATACGGTCGTGGCTACGGAAGGTGAAGGCGGTGCTTTCTGCTGCTGCATCTGCCGGTGGAGCAGGACGTGGTGCAGGCGGTGAAGGAAGAGACGCTGGAGCTGCTGCTGCCGCTATGGCTGCTGCTGCTGCAGCCGCTGCTGGACGAGGTGGTTACGGAGGCAGAGGTGGAGAGGGTGCTGGCGGTGCCGCTGCTGCTTCTTCTGCTGCTGCAGGAGGACGTGGACCTGGAAGACAAGGCGAAGGAGCTGATGCCGCTGCCGCCGCGCCGCTGCCGCTGCTGCGGCTGCCGCTGGAAGTATTGCAGTTCCGTCCTATTGTCCTATTTCATTCAAAAACATAATGCGGAATTTTAAACATAATCCTGCTTTGAGTTCTATATTATTACAAGCGCTTTACGCAAAACCCTGATTACTGCTATTAATTGCTTTACCCTACAGTAATTCCTATCTAGCCGGAAGAGCTTTCTAAACGGCATCATCTTTTTGTTAGCTTAATTTGCAACCGATTGCGATTCATTGAAATCTTTTCTTGGTTTCTTCAGTGGTCACTCGGAACCGCAACACTGTCCAAAATACATTCTAACTCTATTGATGTGTGTACGCAATAGACGCCGAAAAATGTTCTTTCACATTTCATTTTTAAAAATATTTCTGAATAAGTTTTAAAGTAATTTTTATTGTCGAAATTTTTAATATTTAGCTATCGTTCCTGCTCGAGTGCAAGTTTCTGCCTCTGTAAATCCGATAAATAATTTCGACTTCTAAATAGTCCGTTTTTTTATAGACGTGCTTAGCTTGTACGAATTGTCTGCTCAATATTACGTGATATTAACAGTATATTTAACGCAAGTGACGAATTTAGTGCAAATAATTTATACCTCTGCAGCGAGACCCAAATCAGTTAAACTCGTAACCTATCTGTCAGGATACGCAGCTCAAGTCTATTTTGTGAATTTACCAGATGTTCTCAAACTACGTAGAGAAACAACATATAATTACCCTTAATTTGACTAGGTGATTAAGAATTTCATAATATGCACCATTGTTTCTTTTATTTTAACGTCCAAAACGCATTTAACTAGAGTTGAAATACTTTGATCCCTTTTAAACAGATTACAAAGCCTGAGGAAGAACACGTAATTGGACATCTGTTGCGAATAATTAGTTCCGGATTTTAAGGCTTGCTGTTCTGACTTAACACCATGAAACTTGACACAGATAGGATCTTTCATATAAATGTTCATATATGTCCAACCAGATTAAATTCTGAAATTTTATTATCTTCCTGGTATATTAATTTAAATCTACATTTCCGTGAATTTTAAATATCTTCCCATTCGATTTTCCTTTCGGGTAAAACTATAATATATTAAGTTTGTACCGTTAGATCTCCTTTTTCTGATTATTTCAATTCTAGCTTCTCTTCATCATTAATTTTAATAGTTTGTTAAAAACTAATTAGTGAAGTATTTGGATAAGATCCTTAATTTCCATATAGATTCGAATTAAGGAGGTATATTTTAAAACTTCGATCTCAAAACTTCCTATTTCTTTTAAATATTACATTACTATTAATTTCTTTTCTTCCAAGATTAAACTTTTAATTTGTGGTAGATGCAGCTGTCTAATAAAGACATTTGTACATAACATATTAATTGATACCACTGTAGAGATTCTTTGTAACTTACCACACGATATTTCTTTCTTAATATTTTGTACGTTAGGTAACTCGGAAAAGTTATTTAACGTCAATCCCATACTTTCTATTTAACGTTCAAATGCGCAAAGTAAATTAAGTTAACATTTACGAGAATGTCACGCACGAAAAACAAACTTTTATTATTTATCCCAACATGATGTGATTTTATGGCCGAAAAACTCAAAGTTGAAAATACTGTTTTTGAAACAATTGTCCGTTTCCTAACTTAACTGTGTCAGGAAAAATTTCGAAATGATTCTTCTTCGAATTATGAATAAGGTTTAGTATGTTTACTAACGTTGTTTGACCCTTAAATAAAATGCTTCGTGTCTTTTAAAGGGTATGGAGGCAGAGGATACGGTCGTGGCTACGGAGGTGAGGGCGGTGCTTCTCTGCTGCTGCATCTGCCGGGTGGAGCAGGACGTGGTATGCAGGCGGTGAAGGAAGAGACGCTGGAGCTGCTGCTGCTGCCGCTATGGCTGCTGCTGCTGCAGCCGCTGCTGGACGAGGTGGTTACGGAGGCAGAGGTGGAGAGGGTGCTGGCGGTGCCGCTGCTGCCTCTGCTGCTGGCAGGAGGACGTGGAGCTGGAGGACAAGGCGAAGGAGCTGCTGCCGCTGCCGCCGCCGCTGCTGCTGCTGCGGCTGCCGCTGGAAGTATTTAGTTCCGTCCTATTTATTTCATTAAAAACATAATGCGGAATTTTAAACATAAGCCTGCTTTGAGTTCTATATTATTACAAGCGCTTTACGCAAAACCCTAATTCCTGTACTAATTGCTTTACCCTACAGTAATTCCTATCTAGCCGGGAAGAGCTTTCTAAACGGCATCATCGTTTTGTTAGCTTAATTTGCAACTGATTGCGATTCATTGAAATCCTTCTTGGTTTCTTCAGTGGTCACTCGGAACCGCAACACTGTCCAAAAAACATTCAAACTCTATTGATGTGTGTACGCAATAGACGCTGAAAAATGTTCTTTAATTTCATTTTTAAAAATATTTCTGAATAAGTTTTAAAGTAATTTTTATCGTCGAAATTTTTAATATTTAGCTATCATTCCTGCTCGAGTGCAAGTTTCTGCCTCAGTAAATCGATAAATAATTTCGACTTCTAAATACTCCGTTTTTTTAGAAGTGTTTAGCTTGTACGAATTGTCTGCTGAATATTACGTGATATTAACAGTATATAGAACGCAAGTGAGGAATTTAGTGCAAATAATTTATACCTCTGCAGCGAGACTCAAATCAGTTAAACTCTAATATCTATGTCAGGATACGCAGCTCAATCTGTTTTGTGAATTTGAAAGATGTTTTCAAACTACGTAGAGAAACAACATATAGTTACCCTTAATTTGACTAGGTAATTAAGAATTTCATAAAATGCACCGTTTGTTTTTCTTTTTATTTTAATGTCCGAAACGCTTTAACTAGAGTTGAAATATTTTGATCCCTTTTATACACATTACAACAAGCCTGAGGAAGAACACGTAATTGGACATCTGTTGCGAATAATTAGTTCGGATTTTAAAGCTTGCTGTTTGACTTAACGCCATGAAATTGACACAGATAGGTCTTTCATATAAATGTTATATATGTCCAACCAGATTAAATCTGAAATTTTATTATCTTCCTGGTATATTAATTTAATCTACATTACCGTTGAATTTTAAATATCTTCCCATGTTCTTTTTCCTTTCGGATAAAATATAATATATTACAGTTTACCGTTAGATCTCCTTTTTCTGATTATTTCAATTCTAAGCTTCTCTCATCATTAATTTTGAATAGTTTTTTAAAAACTAAGAAGTGAAGTATTTGGTAAGATCCTTATTTTCCATATAATTCGAATTAAGGAGGTATATTTTAAAACTTCGATCTCAAAACTTCCTATTTTTTTTTAAATATTACTTACTATTAATTTTTCTTCCGAGATTAAACTTTTAATTGTGGTGGATGCAGCTGTCTAATAAGACATTTTATACATAACATATTAATTGATACCACTGAAAGAGATTCTTTGTAACTTACCACACGATATTTCTTAAATATTTTGTACGTTATGTAACCGGAAAAGTTATTTAACGTCAATCCCATACTTTCTATTTAACGTTCAAATGCGCAAAGTGAATTAAGTTAACATTTACGAGAATGTCACGCACGAAAAACAAACTTTTATTATTTATCCCAACATCATGTGATTTTATGGCCGAAAAAATTCAAAGTTGAAAATATTGTTTTGAAACAATTGACCGTTTCCTAACTTAACTGTGTGGAAAAATTTCGAAATGATTCTTCTTCGAATTATTAAGTTTTAGTATGTTTACTTACGTTGCTTGACCCTTAAATAAAATCTTCGTGTCTTTTAAAGGATATGGAGGCAGAGGATACGGTCGTGGCTACGGAGGTGAGGGCGGTGCTTCTGCTGCTGCATCTGCCGGTGGAGCAGGACGTGGTGCAGGCGGTGAAGGAAGAGGCGCTGGAGCTGCTGCTGCTGCTGCCGCTACTGCAGCTGCAGCCGCTGCTGGACGAGGTGGTTACGGAGGCAGAGGTGGAGAGGTTGCTGGCGGTGCCGCTGCTGCCTTCTGCTGCTGGCAGCAGGACGTGGAGCTGGAGGACAAGGCGAAGGAGCTGCTGCCGCTGCCGCCGCCGCTGCTGCTGCTGCGGCTGCCGCTGGAAGGTATTTAGTTCCGTCCTATTGTCCTATTTCATTAAAAACATGCGGAATTTTAAACATAAGCCTGCTTTGAGTTCTATATTATTACAAGCGCTTTACGCAAAACCCTAATTCCTGTACTAATTGCTTTACCCTACAGTAATTCCTATCTAGCCGGAAGAGCTTTCTAAACGGCATCATCGTTTTGTTAGCTTTAATTTGCAACTGATTGCGATTATTGAAATCTTTTCTTGGTTTCTTAGTGGTCACTCGGAACCGCAACACTGTCCAAAAACATTCAAACTCTATTGATGTGTGTACGCAATAGACGCTGAAAAATGTTCTTTCAATTTATTTTTAAAAACATTTCTGAATAAGTTTTAAAGTAATTTTTATCGTCGAAATTTTTAATATTTAGCTATCATTCCTGCTCGAGTGCAATTTCTGCCTCAGGAAATCGATAAATAATTTCGACTTCTAAATACTCGGTTTTTTTATAGAGGTGTTTAGCTTGTACGAATTGTTTGCTGAATTTTACGTGATATTTACAGTATATAGAACGCAAGTGAGGAATTTAGTGCAAATAATTTATACCTCTGCAGCAAGACTCAAATCAGTTAAACTCTAACCTTTGTCAGGATACGCAGCTCAATCTCTTTTGTGAATATGACAGATGTTTTAAACTACGTAGAGTAACAACATATAGTTACCCTTAATTTGACTAGGTAATTAAGAATTTCATAAAATGCACGTTTGTTTCTTTACTATTTTGATGTCCGAAACGCTTTAACTAGAGTTGAAATATTTTGATCCCTTTTATACACATTACAACAAGCCTGAGGAAGAACACGTAATTGGACATCTGTTGCGAATAATTAGTTCGGATTTTAAAGCTTGCTGTTTGACTTAACGCCATGAAATTGACACAGATAGATAGTCTTTCATATAAATGTTATTTATGTCCAACCAGATTAAATCTGAAATATTTATTATCTTCCTGGTATATTAATTTAATCTACATTTCCGTTGAATTTTAAATATCTTCCTGTTCTTTTTCCTTTCGGATAAAATATAATATATTAAGTTTACCGTTAGATCTCCTTTTTCTGATTATTTCAATTCTAGCTTCTTTCTCATAATTTTACTTTGAATAGTTTGTTAAAAACTAAGAAGTGAAGTATTTGGTAAGATCCTTATTTTCCATATAATTCGAATTAAGGAGGTATATTTTAAAACTTCGATCTCAAAACTTCCTATTTTCTTTTAAATATTACCTTACTATTAATTCTTCCAGGAGATTAACACTTTTAATTGTGGTGGATGCAGCTGTCTAATAAACATTTGTACATAACATATTAATTGATACCACTGTAGAGATTCTTTGTAACTTACCACACGATATTTCTTAAATATTTTGTACGTTTAGGTAACTCGGAAAAGTTATTTAACGTCAATCCCATACTTTCTATTTAACGATCAAATCCGCAAAGTGAATTAATTTAACTTTTACGAGAATGTCACGCACGAAAAACAAACTTTTATTATTTATCCCAACATGATGTGATTTTATGGCCGAAAAACTCAAAGTTGAAAATACTGTTTTGAAACAATTGACCGTTTCCTAACTTAACTGTGTCAGGAAAAATTTCGAAACGATTGTTCGTCGAATTATGAATAATAGGTTTAGTATGTTTACTTACGTTGCTTGACCCTTAAATAAAATCTTCGTGTCTTTTAAAGGATATGGAGGCAGAGGATACGGTCGTGGCTACGGAGGTGAGGGCGGTGCTTCTGCTGCTGCATCTGCCGGTGGAGCAGGACGTGGTGCAGGCGGTGAAGGAAGAGACGCTGGAGCTGCTGCTGCTGCTGCCGCTGCTGCTGCTGCAGCCGCTGCTGGACGAGGTGGTTACGGAGGCAGAGGTGGAGAGGGTGCTGGCGGTGCCGCTGCTGCCTCTGCTGCTGGAGCAGGACGTGGAGCTGGAGGACAAGGCGAAGGAGCTGCTGCCGCTGCCGCCGCCGCTGCTGCTGCTGCGGCTGCCGCTGGAGGTATGTAGTTCCGCCCTAATTTGTTTAAAAACATGTAGAATTTTGGACATAAACCTGCTTTGAGATCTATATTATTAAAAGCGCTCTACGGTAAACTCTAATTCCTATACTCATTTCTTTACCCGGCAGTAATTCCTCTCTAGCTGGAAGAGCTTTCTAAACGGCATCATCGTTTTGTTAGCTTAATTTGCAACTGATTGCGATTATTGAAATCTTTTCTTGGTTTCTTAGTGGTCACTCGGAACCGCAACACTGTCCAAAAAACATTCAAACTCTATTGATGTGTGTACGCAATAGACGCCGAAAAAACGTTCTTTCAATTTATTTTTAAAAACATTTCTGAATAAGTTTTAAAGTAATTTTTATCGTCGAAATTTTTAATATTTAGCTATCATTCCTGCTCGAGTGCAATTTCTGCCTCAGGAAATCGATAAATAATTTCGACTTCTAAATACTCGGTTTTTTTTATAGAGGTGTTTAGCTTGTACGAATTGTTTGCTGAATTTTACGTGATATTTACAGTATATAGAACGCAAGTGAGGAATTTAGTGCAAATAATTTATACCTCTGCAGCAAGACTCAAATCAGTTAAACTCTAATATCTATGTCAGGATACGCAGCTCAATCTGTTTTGTGAATTTGAAAGATGTTTCAAACTACGTAGAGAAACAACATATAGTTACCCTTAATTTGACTAGGTAATTAAGAATTTCATAAAATGCACGTTTGTTTCTTTACTATTTTGATGTTCCGAACGCTTTAACTAGAGTTGAAATATTTTGATCCCTTTTATACACATTACAACAAGCCTGAGGAAGAACACGTAATTGGACATCTGTTCGAATAATTAGTTCCGGATTTTAAGGCTTGCTGTTTGACTTAACGCCATGAAATTGACACACAGATAGGTCTTTCATATAAATGTTATTTATGTCCAACCAGATTAGAATCTGAAATTTATTATCTTCCTGGTATATTAATTTAATCTACATTTCCGTTGAATTTTAAATATCTTCCCATGTTCTTTTTCCTTTCGGGGTAAAAAATATAATATTACAGTTTACCGTTAGATCTCCTTTTTCTGATTATTTCAATTCTAGACTTCTCTCTCATTAATTTTGAATAGTTTTTTAAAAACTAAGAAGTGAAGTATTTGGTAAGATCCTTATTTTCCATATAATTCGAATTAAGGAGGTATATTTTAAAACTTCGATCTCAAAACTTCCTATTTTTTTTAAATATTACTTACTATTAATTTCTTCCAAGATTAACACTTTTAATTGTGGTGGATGCAGCTGTCTAATAAGACATTTGTACATAACATATTAATTGATACCACTAAAGAGATTCTTTGTAACTTACCACACGATATTTCTTAAATATTTTGTACGTTTATGTAACCGGAAAAGTTATTTAACGTCAATCCCATACTTTCTATTTAACGTTCAAATGCGCAAAGTGAATTAAGTTAACATTTACGAGAATGTCACGCACGAAACGAAAAACAAAATTTTATTATTTATCCCAACATCATGTGATTTTATGGCCGAAAAACTCAAAGTTGATAATACTGTTTTGAAACAATTGACCGTTTCCTAACTTAACTGTGTGGAAAAATTTCGAAATGATTCTTCTTCGAATTATTAAGTTTTAGTATGTTTACTTACGTTGCTTGACCCTTAAATAAAATCTTCGTGTCTTTTAAAGGTTATGGAGGCGTAGGATATGGTCGTGGCTACGGAGGTGAGTCCAGTGCTTCTGCTGCAGCTTCTGCGGGTGGAGCTAGACGTGGTGCAGGCGGTGAAGGAAGAGACGCTGGAGCTGCTGCTGCTGCTGCCGCTACTGCAGCTGCAGCCGCTGCTGGACGAGGTGGTTACGGAGGCAGAGGTGGAGAGGGTGCTGGCGGTGCCGCGCTGCTGCTCTGCTGCTGGAGCAGGACGTGGAGCTGGAGGACAAGGCGAAGGAGCTGCTGCCGCTGCCGCCGCCGCTGCTGCTGCTGCGGCTGCCGCTGGAAGGTATTTAGTTCCGTCCTATTTCACTTAAAAACATAATGCGGAATTTTAAACATAAGCCTGCTTTGAGTTCTATATTATTAAAGCGCTTTACGCAAAACCCTAATTCCTGTACTAATTGCTTTACCCTACAGTAATTCCTATCTAGCCGGAAGAGCTTTCTAAACGGCATCATCGTTTTGTTAGCTTAATTTGCAACTGATTGCGATTATTGAAATCATTCTTGGTTTCTCTAGTGGTCACTCGGAACCGCAACACTGTCCAAAAAACATTCAAACTCTATTGATGTGTGTACGCAATAGACGCCTGAAAACGTTCTTTCCATTTATTTTTAAAAACATTTCTGAATAAGTTTTAAAGTAATTTTTATCGTCGAAATTTTTAATATTTAGCTATCATTCCTGCTCGAGTGCAAGTTTCTGCCTCAGTAAATCGATAAATAATTTCGACTTCTAAAATACTCCGTTTTTTTATAGACGTGTTTAGCTTGTACGAATTGTCTGCTGAATATTACGTGATATTAACAGTATATAGAACGCAAGTGAGGAATTTAGTGCAAATAATTTATACCTCTGCAGCGAGACTCAAATCAGTTAAACTCTAATATCTTGTCAGGATACGCAGCTCAATCTGTTTTGTGAATTTGAAAGATGTTTTAAACTACGTAGAGTAACAACATATAGTTACTCTTAATTTGACTAAGGAATTAAGAATTTCATAAAATGCACGTTTGTTTCTACTATTTTGATTTCCGAAGCGCTTTCAACTAGAGTTGAAATATTTTGATCCCTTTTATACACATTACAACAAGCCTGAGGAAGAACACGTAATTGGACATCTGTTCGAATAATTAGTTCGGATTTTAAGGCTTGCTGTTTGACTTAACGCCATGAAATTGACACAGATAGGTCTTTCATATAAATGTTATTTATGTCCAACCAGATTAGAATCTGAAATATTTATTATCTTCCTGGTATATTAATTTAATCTACATTACCGTTAATTTTAAATATCTTCCTGTTCTTTTTCCTTTCGGATAAAATATAATATATTACATTTACCGTTAGATCTCCTTTTCTGATTATTTCAATTCTAGCTTCTATCATCATTAATTTGAATAGTTTGTTAAAAACTAAGAAGTGAAGTATTTGGTAAGATCCTTATTTTCCATATAATTCGAATTAAGGAGGTATATTTTAAAACTTCGATCTCAAAAACTTCCTATTTTTTTTAAATATTACTTACTATTAATTTCTTCCGAGATTAAAAACTTTTATTTATGGTGGATGCAGCTGTCTAATAAACATTTTGTACATAACATATTAATTGATATTACTAAAGAGATTCTTTGTAATTACACATGATATTTCTTAAATATCTTGTACGTTATGTAACCGGAAAAGTTATTTAACGTCAATCCCATACTTTCTATTTAACGTTCAAATGCGCAAAGCAATTAAGTTAACATTTACGAGAATGACACGCACGAAAAACAAAATTTTTATTTATCCCAACATGATGTGATTTTATGGCCGAAAAACTCAAAGTTGAAAATATTGTTTTGAACAATTGACCGTTTTCCTAACTTAACTGTGTCAGGAACAATTTCGAAACGATTGTTCGTCAAATTATGAATAAGGTTTAGTATGTTTACTAACGTTGTTTGACCCTTAAATAAAATGCTTCGTGTCTTTTAAAGGGTATGGAGGCAGAGGATACGGTCGTGGCTACGGAGGTGAAGGCGGTGCTTCTGCTGCTGCATCTGCCGGTGGAGCAGGACGTGGTGCATGGGCGGTGAAGGAAGAGACGCTGGAGCTGCTGCTGCCGCTATGCCGCTGCTGCTGCTGCAGCCGCTGCTGGACGAGGTGGTTACGGAGGCAGAGGTGGAGAGGGTGCTGGCGGTGCCGCTGCTGCCTTCTGCTGCTGGCAGGCAGGACGTGGAGCTGGAGGACAAGGCGAAGGAGCTGATGCCGCTGCCGCCGCCGCTGCTGCGGCTGCGGCTGCCGCTGGAAGGTATTTAGTTCCGTCCTATTGTCCTATTTCATTCAAAAACATAATGCGGAATTTTAAACATAAGCCTGCTTTGAGTTCTATATTATTACAAGCGCTTTACGCAAAACCCTAATTCCTGTATTAATTGCTTTACCCTACAGTAATTCCTATCTAGCCGGAAGAAAAGCTTTCTAAACGGCATCATCGTTTTGTTAGCTTTAATTTGCAACTGATTGCGATTATTGAAATCTTTTCTTGGTTTCTTCAGTGGTCACTCGGAACCGCAACACTGTCCAAAAATACATTCAAACTCTATTGATGTGTGTACGCAATAGACGCGAAAAACGAAAATGTTCTTTCAATTTATTTTTAAAAACATTTCTGAATAAGTTTTAAAGTAATTTTTATCGTCGAAATTTTTAATATTTAGCTATCATTCCTGCTCGAGTGCAAGTTTCTGCCTCAGTAAATCGATAAATAATTTCGACTTCTAAATACTCCGTTTTTTTATAGACGTGTTTAAGCTTGTACGAATTGTCTGCTGAATATTACGTGATATTAACAGTATATAGAACGCAAGTGAGGAATTTAGTGCAAATAATTTATACCTCTGCAGCGAGACTCAAATCAGTTAAACTCTAACCTTCTGTCAGGATACGCAGCTCAATCTGTTTTGTGAATTTGAACCAGATGTTTCAAACTACGTAGAGAAACAACATATAGTTACCCTTAATTTGACTAGGTGAATTAAGAATTTCATAAAATGCACCATTGTTTCTTTTACTATTTTGATGTCCGAAACGCATTTAACTAGAGTTGAAATATTTTGATCCCTTTTATACACATTACAACAAGCCTGAGGAAGAAGAACACGTAATTGGACATCTGTGCGAATAATTAGTTCCGGATTTTAAAGCTTGCTGTTCTGACTTAACGCCATGAAATTGACACAGATAGGTCTTTCATATAAATGTCATTATATGTCCAACCAGATTAAATTCTGAAATTTTATTATCTTCCTGGTATATTAATTTAAATCTACATTACCGTGAATTTTAAATATCTTCCCATGTTCGATTTTTCCTTTCGGGTAAAACTATAATATATTAAGTTTACCGGTTAGATCTCTTTTTTCTGATTATTTCAATTCTAGAGCTTCTCTCATCATTAATTTTAATAGTTTGTTAAAAAACTAATTAGTGAAGTATTTGGTAAGATCCTTAATTTCCATATAATTCGAATTAAGGAGGTATATTTTAAAACTTCGATCTCAAAACTTCCTATTTCTTTTAAATATTACCTTACTATTAATTTCTTCCAAGATTAACACTTTTAATTGTGGTAGATGCAGCTGTCTAATAAGACATTTGTACATAACATATTAATTGATACCACAAAAGAGATTCTTTGTAACTTACCACACGATATTTCTTAAATATTTTGTACGTTATGTAACCGGAAAAGTTATTTAACGTCAATCGCATACTTTCTATTTAACGTTCAAATGCGCAAAGTGAATTAAGTTAACATTTACGAGAATGTCACGCACGAAAAACAAAATTTTATTATTTATCCCAACATCATGTGATTTTATGGCCGAAAAATTCAAAGTTGATAATATTGTTTTGAAACAATTGACCGTTTCCTAACTTAACTGTGTGGAACAATTTTCGAAACGATTGTTCATCAAATTATAAATAATATTTAGTATCTTTACTAACGTTGATTGACCCTTAAATAAAATGTTCGTGTCTTTTAAAGGGTATGGAGGCAGAGGATACGGTCGTGGCTACGGAAGGTGAGGGCGGTGCTTCTGCTGCTGCATCTGCCGGTGGAGCAGGACGTGGTGCAGGCGGGTGAAGGAAGAGACGCTGGAGCTGCTGCTGCCGCTATGCCGCTGCTGCTGCTGCAGCCGCTGCTGGACGAGGTGGTTACGGAGGCAGAGGTGGAGAGGGTGCTGGCGGTGCCGCTGCTGCCTCTGCTGCTGCAGCAGGACGTGGAGCTGGAGGACAAGGCGAAGGAGCTGCTGCCGCTGCCGCCGCCGCTGCCGCTGCCGCGGCTGCCGCTGGAAGGTATTGCAGTTCCGTCCTATTGTCCTATTTCATTAAAAACATAATGCGGAATTTTAAACATAATCCTGCTTTGAGTTCTATATTATTACAAGCGCTTTACGCAAAACCCTAATTACTGCTATTAATTGCTTTACCCTACAGTAATTCCTATCTAGCCGGAAGAGCTTTCTAAACGGCATCATCGTTTTGTTAGCTTAATTTGCAACGATTGCGATTCATTGAAATCTTTTTCTGGTTTCTAGTGGTCACTTCGGAACCGCAACACTGTCCAAAAAACATTCAAACTCTATTGATATGTGTACGCAATAGACGCCTTGAAAAACGTTCTTTCCCATTTATTTTTAAAAAAATATTTCTGAATAAGTTTTAAAGTAATTTTTATCGTCCGAAATTTTTAATATTTAGCTATCATTCCTGCTCGAGTGCAATTTTCTGCCTCAGGAAATCGATAAATAATTTCGACTTCTAAATACTCGGTTTTTTTTTAGAGGTGTTTAGCTTGTACGAATTGTTTGCTGAATTTTACGTGATATTTACAGTATATAGAACGCAAGTGAGGAATTTAGTGCAAATAATTTATACCTCTGCAGCAAGACTCAAATCAGTTAAACTCTAACCTTTGTCAGGATACGCAGCTCAATCTGTTTTGTGAATTTGAAAGATGTTTTAAACTACGTAGAGTAACAACATATAGTTACTCTTAATTTGACTAAGGAATTAAGAATTTCATAAAATGCACGTTTGTTTCTACTATTTTGATTTCCGAAGCGCTTATAACTAGAGTTGAAATATTTTGATCCCTTTTATACACATTAGAACAAGCCTGAGGAAGAACACGTAATTGGACATCTGTTCGAATAATTCGTTCCGGATTTTAAAGCTTGCTGTTTGACTTAACGCCATGAAATTGACACAGATAGGTCTTTGATATAAATGTTATTTATGTCCAACCAGATTAGAATCCGAAAATTTTATTATCTTCCTGGTATATTAATTTAATCTACATTACCGTTGAATTTTAAATATCTTCCCATTCTTTTTCCTTTCGGATAAAACTATAATATATTACTTTTGCGGTTAGATCTCCTTTTTCTGATTATTTCAATTCTAGCTTCTCTATCATTAATTTTGAATAGTTTCTTAAAAACTAAGAAGTGAAGTATTTGGATAAGATCCTTATTTTCCATATAATTCGAATTAAGGAGGATTTATATTTTAAAACTTCGATCTCAAAACTTCCTATTTTTCTTTTAAATATTACCTTACTATTAATTTCTTCCAAGATTAACACTTTTAATTGTGGTGGATGCAGCTGTCTAATAAAGACATTTATACATAACATATTAATTGATACCACTGTAGAGATTCTTTGTAACTTACCACACGATATTTCTTAAATATCTTGTACGTTAGGTAATCGGAAAAGTTATTTAACGTCAATCCCATACTTTCTATTTAACGTTCAAATCCGCAAAGTAAATTAAGTTAACTTTTACGAGAATGTCACGCACGAAAAACAAACTTTTATTAGGTATCCCAACATGATGTGATTTTATGGCCGAAAAACTCAAAGTTGATAATACTGTTTTGGAACAATTGTCCGTTTCCTAACTTAACTGTCAGGAAAAATTTCGAAACGATTGTTCTTCGAATTATTAAGTTTTAGTATGTTTACTTACGTTGCTTGACCCTTAAATAAAATCTTCGTGTCTTTTAAAGGATATGGAGGCAGAGGATACGGTCGTGGCTACGGAAGGTGAAAGGCGGTGCTTCTGCTGCTGCATCTGCCGGTGGAGCAGGACGTGGTGCAGGCGGTGAAGGAAGAGACGCTGGAGCTGCTGCTGCTGCTGCCGCTGCTGCTGCTGCAGCCGCTGCTGGACGAGGTGGTTACGGAGGCAGAGGTGGAGAGGGTGCTGGCGGTGCCGCTGCTGCTGCTCTGCTGCTGCAGGAGGACGTGGACCTGGAAGACAAGGCGAAGGAGCTGATGCCGCTGCCGCCGCCGCTGCTGCAGCTGCGGCTGCCGCTGGAAGTATTGCAGTTCCGTCCTATTTCATTCAAAAACATAATGCGGAATTTTAAACATAATCCTACTTTGAGTTCTATATTATTACAAGCGCTTTACGCAAAACCCTAATTACTTTATTAATTGCTTTACCCTACAGTAATTCCTATCTAGCCGGAAAAGCTTTCTAAACGGCATCATCGTTTTGTTAGCTTAATTTGCAACCGATTGCGATTATTGAAATCATGTCTTGGATTCTTCAGTGGTCACTCGGAACCGCAACACTGTCCAAAATATATTCTAACTCTTTTGATATGTGTATGCAATAGACGCCGAAAAACGTTCTTTCCCATTTCATTTTTTAAAATATTTCTGTATAAGTTTTAAAGTAATTTTTATTGTCGAAATTTTTAATATTTAGCTATCGTTCCTGCTTGAGTGCAAGTCTGCCTCAGTAAATCGGTAAATAATTTCGACTTATAAATAGTCCGTTTTTGATAGACGTGCTTAGCTTGTACGAATTGTCTGCTCAATATTACTTGATATTAACAGTATATTTAACGCAACTGACAAATTTAGTGCAAATAATTTACTTCTCTGCAGCGAGATTCAAATCAGTTAAACCGTAATATCTATCAGGATATGCAGCTCAATCTATTTTGTGAATTTGCCAGATGTTTCAAACTACGTAGAGAAACAACATATAATTACCCTTAATTTCACTAGGTGATTAAGAATTTCATAATATGCACCATTGTTTCTTTTATTCTAATGTCCGAAACGCATTTAACTAGAGTTGAAATACTTTGATCCCTTTTAAACAGATTACAACAAGCCTGAGGAAGACCACGTAATTGGACATCTGTGCGAATAATTAGTTCCGGATTTTAAAGCTTGCTCTCTGACTTAACACCATGAAACTTGACACAGATAGATATTTGATATATATGTCATATATGTCCAACCAGCTTAGAATTCTGAAAATTTATTATCTTCCTGGTATATTAATTAAATCTACATTTACCGTGAATTTTAAATATCTTCCCATTCGATTTCCTTTCGGGGTAAACTATAATATGTTAAGTTTGCGGTTAGATCTCTTTTCTGATTATTTCAATTCTAGATTCTTCTCATTAATTTTAACAGTTTTTTAAAAACTAATTAGTCAAGTATTTGATAAGAACTTAATTTCCGTATAGATCGAATTAAGGAGGTATATTTTAAAACTTCGATCTCAAAACTTCCTATTTCTTTTAAATATTACCTTACTATTAATTTCTTCAAGATTAACACTTTTAATTGTGGTAGATGCAGCTGTCTAATAAGACATTTGTACATAACATATTAATTGATACCACTGAAGAGATTCTTTGTAACTTACCACACTATATTTCTTAAATATTTTGTACGTAATGTAACCGGAAAAGTTATTTAACATCAATCCCATACTTTCTATTTAAGGTTCAAATGCGCAAAGTAAATTAATTTACATTTACGAGAATGTCACGCACGAAAAACAAACTTTTATTATTTTAGATTTTATTATTGCCGCTGCCGCCGTCGCTGCTGCTTTTGCTGCTGCCGCTGGAAGTATGTAGTTCAGCCCTATTTCAATTAAAACCATGTGGAATTTTAAACCTAAGCCTGCGTTGAGTTCTACAGTATTAAAAGGCTTTACGCAAAACCCTAATTCTTATACTAAATGTTTTACCCTATAGTAATTCCTGTCTAGTCGGAAGACCTTTCTAAGCGGCATGATCGTACTATGTAGGTGTGTTTCCTCCTTGAGTGCATGTTTTGCCTAAGCAAATAGCTAAATAATTTATTTTTCAAAACTGTCCTTTTATTGTGAACTTGTGTGCAGTTTGGGTGGAATAGTAGATACGATTATCTATGTATATAATACAACGAAGCATTTTAGTGCAACTGCGTTATGCCTTTGCAGTGACCCTCAAGTCAGATGTAATTAATTTTAGGATAACCTGCTTAATCGGTTTCATGAATTAGCGAGTAGTTTCAAACTACCTGTCGTAATAAAAAATAGTTAACTGATGTTAATATGTCTATGCCATTATACGTTTCATAACACGCATCTTTATTTCGATCACTTTAATATCAGAGACTCCTTTTCTTAGTGGTTAATTATTTTTATCCTTTCTAAAAGCTCTGGAACAGCGTGAGGTAGAAACCTTAATTGGACATCTGTGAGAATAATTAGTTCTTGATTTTGAAGTTTGGTGTTTGGCATCGAGAATTTCACGAAGGTATACGTTAGGTATAAGCGGGAAACACTGACCACCATATTAACGTCTCAAATTTTTTTTCAACTTCCTCGCATCCAGATTTATTCTACTTTACCCTTAATTTAAATATGTTCTTATTTGCGTTTCTTTCGGATAAGTTATAATAGTTTAAAATATTTTTTCAGATCTCTTGTTTTTATAATTTTAGTTCGACGCTTGTGTCTTATTACTTTTGCTAATATGTCTCATGTAATTATTGAATTGTTTAGATGCATTTTCGTTTTGGTAAATTTCGAACTGAGAAATTATATTTAAAATTTTCCTCCCAAACTTTAAATTACTTCGTTGGAAGAATATCTCGATGGGTTTTTCCAAATGTAGCTGTATAATAATTCATTTATACGTATCATATTATTGGATTGCAGGTTTAGTTAATCTGAAGTTACATATGACTTAATTTCGAGCTTTACTTACGAATGTTTGTATGTATATGGTATATTATGTAACAGGGTATATATATATATATATACATATACATGCTACATACATACTCTGTTGCATAACATGCTATGTATGTATTTAATCAGGTAACTAATGATCAATTGTCATGTTAGTTTATGGTTTTACCTCTGTACTCACCATTCGAAGCTTTCAGAAACTCCATGAATATTTTCGAAAATTTTAAATAAACCTGCTTCCTTAAACTTTTCAAATCACCTATCCCCTTTATCTTTGGAGTTAAAACGTTTATCTTATGCATTATCAGACAAGGCCTTTCTATTCATTTTTGTCAAAATAGTTAAACTTCAAATTTGAAAGACTTTCTTTGTAATTCAAATGGAATAAATTTTTCATTGTAATATTTTACATGTTACTCATGCAACTCTGAAAACGCTAGGTACTTTATCTTGATGCTTCTGAATGGTCGTAATAATCGTCGAATGATATCTGCTGTCAAGGAATTTTCATCTGAAACTGCTTACGACAATTTCTCTTAGTTGCTAAATCAAGGTGCGCCTTTTCGAAACAAATGACCTTATTTTAATACATCTATAATTTTTTTTAGTATTTTCTTCGAGTTTCCTTATTTTATCTCTATCTCTGTTATATATTTCTGGGTTGTCTGAAGTAATATGAAACGCAAACGAAAAATGTTTATATTTTATGACTGCAATAACATTGCATGCCTGGACATACATTCAGGTCATAATTGTAGCCACTCCTGAATGAAAACTAACTTCTAAATCGTGTGAATGTGAAAGTTGCGAATTTATTCCCTGTTTCTTATATCCCGATTAATGCATTCATGTATTAATGTTAAAATATGCTTTACTTTGTCAGGCTATGGAGGACGCGGATTAGGTGATGGATACAGAGCTGGTTCTGGTGGAGCTGCTGCTGCGTCTGCTACTGGAGCTGGATCTGGTGCAAGAGGACGAGGCTCTGACTTCATTACCGATGCTGCTGCTCTAGCATCTGCTGCTGCTTCTGCTTTCGGTTCAGGAGGTTACGGCGGCAGAGAATACGAAACTAGTTCTAGCGCTGCTGCGTCTTCTGCTGCTAGTAGTTCTGTTGATAGGTCAACTGTATATTCGACTATTTCGCGATTGTCATCGTCTTCTTCTTCGTCCAGAGTTTCTTCTGCAGCTTCTGCTCTTGCTTCTGGTGGTGCATTCAATGCTAACGCATTGTCTTCAGTTATTTCAAGTCTGTCGTCTCAAGTTCGTTCTTCGTCTTCAGATCTCTCCGGATGTGAAGTGCTCGTCCAGGTTCTGTTAGAAGTTTTGTCAGCCCTTGTGCATATCTTGAGTTCGTCAAATATTGGTCCAATTGATTTGAGTTCCGTAACTTCAGCCTCAAATATTGTTTCTAACTCACTTTATGCGTTAGCATGAAGCAAAGTGTGTTAAAATTTAATATTTTCTGAACGTGTAACATTTATTCAGAAATAAATAAATACATTGCATGATATAAAGTTATCTTTTCAATGTTGCATGAGTTATTTGAATCTTCATCAGTGTGATTTTTATTACCTCTGCACGTGAGAAAAGAAAACCCATAGTAGTAAATGATGGAACATTTCGGTAGTATACATACTTAGAGGTGTACATATGCACTTAATATATATATATTTAGTTCTATATATACTTAGAGACGAAAATTGCCCTGATAAACCTATATTACTTTGAATGAATATCGAATTATATGAAAGGGCGATTTAGTTATTTAACAGTATATACAGCGAAAATGTATCAACATATAGGGGGATATAGAAAAAGATGAAGCTCAGCTTTTAAAAAAAATACTTGATTTTAGAGGTAGAGTCAATTTAATTTGAAAGATATTTTACATTTTAACGCACTTTACTTGGAAGATTTCATTCGCATGTACGAAACAAATCTGGCATGTACACCACATGACTTCCTACGCAACTTTCATGCATTTCATTTAAACATATTGAATTAACAGTTAACGAGTTTTGAATTAAATTTACTTCGTCGGTAGCGCATAAACCAAAATAGAATAAATGCACTTTTAACGTTCACTATATTTACCATAGTGACAATTCGGCGCTTGGTTCACTTAACAGCGTTATATCTCATTCATTTATAACTCAGAGTGAACAAAGGCTGTATGATCTGAAGAATGACCACATACTCTATTCAAGTACTATAAGAAATTTCAAACAGTATATAAAAAAATTAAATAAAAAAGAAACAGTTTCACTGACAATTCAGCGCCGCTTACCTAGTGCCCATGCACTATTAATTAATTTAGTTCTCAAGGCAAGGGAAAAATACATAAACATTCAAAATATTTTCATTAAAAATTGAAAGATATAGAAAAAACATAAAACACTAAATACAGTTAAAACAATTAAAAAACAAGTTTTACAATTAAAACTACATTTTTTTTTTATCAAAAACAAGCCAATAACTTAAATGATAATTCCAGAATGAATTAAGCATAATTCAATTTGCAATAATAAAAGAAGATATTAGTTTGTTGTTGCGAAACTTAGTTTCTCTAGATTGGCAACAAATGCACTATTCTTCAAAGTTTCAAATGTAAACAAATATGGCTGCTATGCTAAACAAAAATTAGGCTTATGCTCACTTAAAAAACTAAATTGCTGTTAATTTAGAACGGAATATTAAAATATACGCACCTTTTCCTCCATTTCCTTTAAACATATTTCCTCGAATTTCATTAGAGCATAATTCTCATTCAATTAATTCTGTTCTCAGTTCTCGGCAAAGCAAAAATACATAAAACCTCAAAATATCCTTATTAAGAATTGAAAAATAGAGAGAAAAAGTAAATAAAACACGAAATACATTTGAAACAATCAAAAAAAAATTTTTTACAATTAAAATTAGAGTTTCTACGCAGAAACCAGCAATTCGGCCAACAGGCAACAAGGCAGATTTTTCGGTGCATAAAAATGAAAATTTAACCCTTAGCCTGTGGAGTTATTTTATGCGAATCCTTTTAAAACTGTCGCTAGTTTTGGACCGAAACTTCCCGTAAAATGTCGCGAAAATAACCCTAAACCTCTGAAAATTGTCAGGCAGTTCTTTTGTTATTTCCCATCCCTCCCAGAATTTTACTTCAATGATTCCGCTAAGTGAGATTGATTACTAGATATTGTCTCGTAGATGTGTCCGCTGTCAAGAGACTTGCAAAAGGCTAGAATCTCCGTGATGACAGTATCAATGCCGCAGGGTACAGCTGCGAAACTTAAAAGTTTACTTCCCTAAAACAATCTTATTTTCAAATAAATTGGTTTTAAAATTTACCTGTTTAAATTTTTAATTATTACGCATTTTTAAGTAACCTAAATCTGTATGTCACTGATTATCACCTTAATTTCAATGCAGACTGATTAAACTGCTATCACTAAATTCTATTCTGACAAATGGTGCAACTTTCATTCCTTCTGAGATATTGCTGAAACATTTAGTATTATTTCCGATTTTCTCTATTTTTGTCATTAATTAAAAATCTTTAAAACTTTCAACATTTTCCTGTGTTCTTCAACTGCATGCAAATAATAATTATTTTAAATAATTTCTTTTTGCCTTAATTATTACACATTTTTAAGAGTAATAAATTAAGTTTTAAGAGTAATAAACAAAACATTTGAGTGTTATTTAACCCGTCAGCACACGCGCTGGGGTAAAATCCACTCCACGTGCAGTGTTTTCTTATAAAATAAGGGAAGGTCGTACGTGACCTTTCTAGTACTTCATGTGCCTTTCAAGATCAAGGTTAGGAAGGGGTCGTCCAGAGGAATTTTTCCAGTTTCCTTGGGATTTTGTGTTTTCGGGGAAGAAGTGTGCAATGGGATTATAATAACTACCCAGCGCATGTACTAACGTTTTACTTCTAGAGAGACATTCATTGAGATGAGTGCGTACGAGCGAGAACAGTAACGCCTGCGGATTATTCTCACTAGTGTTGAAACTGATAGCGAAATGGAAGATTCCGATTCTGAGAGCAATAATATTTCTGAAAGTTCTCACGAAACTGATTCTGACCCAGTAATATGATGATTCACATGATTTAGGGAGCATATTTTCTTTGACATCGGATGTTTTTTATGTTTGAAAAGATGGAACAATTTGAAGTAGAAGATTACCCTCGAAAAACGTTCGGACACTGCCGCGCAATATAGCGACACATCTACTTGGTGTCAAGAAAAGCTTTAGAAATTTGAAAAATCCCAACTAAGCGTTTATTGCAAATTTTTGATGAAGAAATAATGGAAGATTTGGTGAAATCAACAAACATTTAAATTTCATCAATAAGAAACAAATTCTCTAGAGAACGTGATGCACAAGAGACAAACGGTATTTTTCGGACTAATGAACATTGCAGGTATAAATGCTTTTATTATTCATTGATCAAATAATGACTAACTGAATATGAACCGAAGAGCTTTTCTGAAAGATTTAGAATTAGAGCTTGTAAAAGAACATCTCCTAAAAAGCGCTGCAATTCTATCTCTTTCAAAAGAACTCTAGTAAAAAGGTTGGCAAGAATAGAAGATGTAGCAGACCTTCACCCTAAGAAATGTTTCGTAAAAATATGTTGTCACACTATGTGAAGATTGTTCAAAACGAGTTTATTTAAATAATTAAACTCAGGTAGTAGGGGGATGCGGAAAACCTAGATGTAATTTATATTTTTTAATATTCGTATTTAGAATCTATTCTTTGATATGAATAATTGTATAACATTATATTGAGTTTTAAGGGAAAAAACTGATAAGAATGCAGCCTTTTCATATTCCTCTAGTTCTTTATCAAACCACTCTTTATAATAAACACTTATGCTTAAAGAATATGAACATATAAAAACTTTTTAATATAAGAAATCATATATGTATCTTACATAAGTTAATAATTTTGCATAAATTTCGATTTTTATGGCTTAGTTTAGGTAAACAGTATGGAAATGTTTGCATAACTTAAAGTAAGATTATCTCGAATTAAAGCTGGAAAAAAGGTTTAACAAAATTCACAAAGCTATTATTCATTTATAAATTCATTTAAAACAAAGAAAACGCATTTATTTATACGTTGGGGAGTGAACTTCGAAAAACAACCACTGAGGTAAAATTTGTCCCGCGCGTGTACTAACGTAGCGCAGTTACGCGCGTATGCTGAAGGTTTAAGGGCTGAGATGGTGATAATATCAATATTAAATTTGCACCTTTATTTTTTATATACATTAAAGATATTCAGAAAGGCAATTATAACCTGAAACTGTTTTTAGTGTATCATAAATTTATTGACTCAATTTAAAAATTCTTGCGTTCCTGTCCAAGAAATACTAGTAAACTTATTTGAAATAGAAAGATGAAAATTAATAACAACAAAGCATTTTACTCATTAGCTTACAATATAATTTATTCAGTATGGTATTTTTGTAAAGAAGAGTGTTGCTGTACATTTTGTAAAGTATAAATAAGCATTTGCATTTAATAATTATAAAGTTATTATATTTTAATAATTAATCATAAGAATATGAATAATTAAATATTTTTTCGGAGATATATTTTCCGGCGATATTTTTTTTCTAGGGATCCCAGCATACATTTTTGAAGCATTATGCTCTAAATAAATGTCTTGTTTGAACATAGCATTTATTGTTGACACAAATCTCCAACCAAAGGAAATACCTTACTAGGGAGGATATTCAAACAAAAATTTTTATTAGAATAAATATTTTCGTTATTTTAATACTACTAATAATATACAAACATTAGTTTAAGTTCACTATAGTTGAGTGAATAAGATTGCTGGATGTTGGTAGTTTGTTGTTGGCAACCGAACAGTTTAGCTGCTTGTGGTCTTTATGATTTTCCCGATGCGTAACGTGAATTCAAGCCAATTTTATTTAGAAAATTGCCCACGAAGGTGTTCTCTCAAAACAGATAACCCGTGACTTCTTAAAAACTGTAAAAATATAATGTGCATATTTTCCGTTATACGATAACACGAACCTCATTTTTTTTTCGTTATAAACATTTACTTCAATTTTGTTATATGCATTTAATTTCATTTTGTTATATGCATCTGTTAGTCTTTTTGACAAATTTTTAAATTATTTGAGTATGGAAGAGGAAACGAGATCTATCAGCCGAAGGCAATGGATGTCTCAATGGACGACTTTCTAAATAAAACGTACTCATGTTCATGTTACATATAGGGAAAATTACAAAACCCAGTCATGCAGCCAGTTCGTTTGTTTGGGTTCGAATATGAGTCGAACTAGGAATAATCAGAGATCTTAGCCAGGAGGCCATTGATTGGGTTTGATGGATTTGGAAACCTAATAAATAGTATTAAATAAATATAATATTGTTACGGATTTGGTATTTAATTAGTTAATGTTAGTAGAATTATAAATAAAATTGTTTCATTCCCCGCGAAATGCAGCGGGTAATGAATATTAAAGGAAAACTAAGTCTGA